CGCGCACACACACACACACACACACACACAAGCGCGCACAAGCGCACACACTCGGACACACACACACAAGCGCACACACACACAAGCGCACACACGCGCACACACACACACACACAAGCGCGCACACACACACACACACACACACAAGCGCGCACAAGCGCACACACTCGGACACACACACACAAGCGCACACACACACAAGCGCACACACGCGCACACACACACACACACAAGCGCGCACACACACACACACACACACACAAGCGCGCACACGCGCACACACACACAAGCGCACACGGACACACTCGCACACGGACACACTCGCACACGGACACACTCGCGCACACTCGGACACACGCACACTCGCGCGCGCACAAGCGCACACGGACACTCGCGCGCACACGGACACTCGCGCACACTCGGACACACGCACACACTCGGACACACGCACACACACAAGCGCGCACACGCACACACACAAGCGCGCGCACACACACACACAAGCGCACACACACAAGCGCGCGCGCACACACACACACAAAAATATCCGGGTCATATTTTACCACAAAATCCCAGAAGAAACAAGGTTTAGGGTGCAACAAATAATATTGTATTGTATTATTTCAGTTGTAAAGTGCCATTGTAAATGTGCATATGGTAAATGGACTGAATTTAATGAAAAACATCATTATGTCCAGACAGGATCGTTTTATACCAGTATGAAAATAATTTAAAAAATGTGTATTATTATTATTATTATTATTATAATTTGTTATTACATACTGGTAAAAAATGTATAGCCTGAATGCACTGTAAGTCGCTTTGGATAAAAGCATCTGCTAAATGCATAAATGATTATTATTTTTATTTATTACTTTTTTTTGTGCATGACAATAATCAGAAATTTCTGTGAAAATGTGCTTTGTCATGAAAAAGTCTTTAACTTCAAAATATAATTTTTATATTTTAAATGAAAAATATTGTTAAATGTACTATAACATTTATATGAATAAATTGAGTTATATAATAAACATTAATATTAAAAATAACTTTATATTAAATCAAATATCCGATCAAGTAGGGAAAGAAATTGTTGCTTTTAATGTGGTGTGAAAAAATTTAATATTTAAAATAGGTTAAAATTAATAAAGTTAATCACAATATTTAAAAAAAACACGATTTTAACACGATTCTGTGTCATGTTGGTTTTACTATTTTGTAAGTTGTCTGAGCATTACAGCCAAACTAATTTCCATATTATAAAGACAAAGCCTTTCAAGGTAACAAAATTGTAAAAAGAATGGCGGATTCTTTTGGCTAAAGTGGGCGAAGATAAAAATCTTTCATTATTTGATCTGCTATTAAAAAATAACAAAGATACACGTTACAAATACACATAATACACAAATAAAACTGCTATATTTTCAGGTACAATATTCAGCAGGAGCAATAACTTTTATTTTCTTGTGACATGTTTTCGTGAGATTCACATTGTGCTAAAAAGTAATTCTGAGAGTTGTTAAAGCACTAAGCCCCGTGAAGTCGTGGTTTACGGTGAGTTTATAACAGCTGAGGGGCGTTGTTAGGCACGACGCGAAGCGGAGCTTTTATAAATTCGCTGTAAACCACGACTTCACGGGGCTTGGTGCTTTTATAAAACGGTTATTCCATATACGTAGTAAGGTTTCACGAAAAATAAAACGGAGCTAATAAAGTGTAATGATATTAATAAAAACAGTATTCTTCCACCAAACAATGTAGCTCCTCAGAAACAGTTGTGGTTGCTACAAAGTGGTTGCAGAGCAACACACACACAGAAGTAAACAGGTGTATGTTTGTAGAGTAATTTACAACAGCTTCGAACTTGGCTCAGCCAATCAGAGTCAAGCACCGGAACTATCTGTTTTAAAAGATTTATTTTGGTTGTTTTCCTCTGTAGCTCGACATCATGGAGCCGAAAGTGCCAGACGACATTTACAAAACCCTGGTTTACGGTGAGTTTATAACAGCTGAGGGGCGTTGTTAGGCACGACGCGAAGCGGAGCTTTTATAAATTCGCTGTAAACCACGACTTCACGGGGCTTGGTGCTTTTATAAAACGGTTATTCCATATACGTAGTAAGGTTTCACGAAAAATAAAACGAAGCTAATAAAGTGTAATGATATTAATAAACACAGTATTCTTCCACCAAACAATGTAGCTCCTCAGAAACACTTGTGGTTGCAGAGCAACACACACACAGAAGTAAACAGGTGTATGTTTGTAGAGTAATTTACAACAGCTTCGAACTTGGCTCAGCCAATCAGAGTCAAGCACCGGAACTATCTGTTTTAAAAGATTTATTTTGGTTGTTTTCCTCTGTAGCTCGACATCATGGAGCCGAAAGTGCCAGACGACATTTACAAAACCCACCTGGAGAACAACCGTAAGCTGCTTCAGCTCTCACGAGGAATGTGACGCGGTGTTTTATGTGTTTTACATGCGGTGTTTCTCTCAGGGTTCGGCAGCAGCGGCTCACAGGTGGACTCCGCTCGCATGAATCTGGCCTCCTCTTTCGTCAACGGCTTCGTTAACGCCGCGTTCGGACAGGACAAGCTGCTCACGGAGGACGGAAACAAATGGCTCTACAAGAACAAGGACCACGGTGAGAGCAGGGCCGTCTCTGGGCAGCTAGACGAGATAAATCGGATGCTTCTGTGATGAGATGTGTGTTTGTTGCAGGCATGCTCAGCGCGGCGGCGTCTCTGGGAATGATTCTGCTGTGGGACGTGGATGGCGGTCTAACGCAGATCGATAAATATCTTTATTCCTCCGAGGACTACATCAAGGTACAGATTCACACACTTATTAGTGCGCTCACTTTAAGGGCTGCATGATTTGGGGAAAACAAATCATGTGATTATAAAAAAATATATTATTTAAAATATTATATTCTATAAAATACAACCGTAGAATAGTAATAATTTGTTGTTGTTATTAAAAATGCAAATGATAAACAAAATATGAAATATTACTCTTGTAATAGTTCACTGAAAAAAGTATAATATGAAACAAAAAATATATATTATGATACATAATAATAATATGCTAATATGCGATACAAATATTTATGGTACTTTTTTCTTTCTTTCAGTGTGTCTTTAAGTATGTATTATATTTATTAAATATAATTAATTTTTGTAGTTAAAATCTGAGTTTCTGATCTTTTTTTTTTATTTTTTATGAAATTACATGTTAAAATTTAATTACAGGTTTCATTCTACAGGTTTAATTACATTTTAGCAATGAAAAGTATGTCTAATCAATTTAATTCATAAACGTTTAACAGTAAACAAAATGTGAAATATTACTGTTGTAATAGTTCACTGAAAAAAGTATAATATGAAATATTATGATGCATAATATTAATAATAATAAAAAAAAAATGTATTATAACATTTTTCAGTGCAAATGTGAAATGACAACACTGATATTTCTGGTGTTTGTTTCTTTGTTGTTTCTTTCAGTCCGGAGCGCTGTTGGCGTGTGGGATCGTTAACTCCGGCGTTCGTAACGAGTGTGATCCCGCTCTGGCGCTGCTGTCTGATTACGTCCTACACAACAGCAACACCATGAGGATCGGGGCCATTTTTGGGTAATTCAGAAATTACACAAATCATTTAGAATTTAAAGGGGTCGTATGACGTTGCTAAAAAGAACATTATTTGGTGTATTTGGTGTAATGAAATGTGTTTATGCTGTTTAAGGTTAAAAAAACACATTATTTTCCACATACTGTATATTATTGTTTCTCCTCTATGCCCCGCCTTTCTGAAACGCGTCGATTTTTACAAAGCTCATCGGTCTGAAAAGCAAGGTGTGCTGTGATTGGCCAGCTATCCAGTG